CCTGTAGCTTTTGCCGGTCTCGAGATGAAAAATCGGTACAGACGAACACACAGACGCACAGACACAAAGACACACACAGACAACCTCTCGCCAATATGCGTTTTCTGCATTGCATAGCTGCAAAAAACGCATAACAACCCTTCGACAACACGCGTTTTTGCATTGCATAGATAAAAAAACGCATAAAAAGCAGACAAACCAAGTGAAAGTCTTAGATCATTCGTAATGTCCCTCCTATACAGCAAACAATTTTCGATTTCTTCCACCTCAAGGATATCCCCTTCTCAGCCAAATGTTGACTGGACCGAATTAAAAAAGCTCACTAAATTCTGTTCTCTTCACCTTTAATGATTCCAATGGTCACGGCCGAGATACCTCTATTTTTATGCTTTTTTGCATATCTGGAACTGAAAAAAACGCATATTGGCAAGAGGCTGTCTGGGTGCGTGTGTATGTCCATGTATTCGCACTTTTTGTTACGCACTTTCAACACGAGAACCAGAAAAGCTAGAAGGCTGAAACTTTGGAAGTATGTGCCCACACCATGCGCAACTCTCCCGTTTTAATGTCATCCCCCGCGAACGTCTGGGTGCCGCATACGCCACCCTTCGTAAAAAAATATGCAAGTTTTTTGGTGGGAAAGCGATTTTGGGAACCAGACAAGGTAAAGGATTGAAATTTTGTAGGGATATTCCATGCGCATGTGTAAGCTAAAGATTACAAATTCAGCCCCAGCTATGCGTAATACTCACGTGCGAGCACGTGAAAGACTTGATGGGAAAACTGCTAACTCGTCAACCAGGAATGCTGGAAGGCTAAAATTTTAAAAGGATCTTCTCTATCCACGTGCAATTTAAATATTTCAAATTCAGCTCCCCAGGTGAGTGTGGTACCCAAGTACAGGCATGTGAATATTTCGGCGAAAAAATTACTAACTTGGGAACCAGAAAAGCTAGAAAGCTGAAATTCCAGGGCAATTTTTCTGTCCAAATACAAATTAAATACTGCAAATTCAGCCTTCAGGTATGCGTGGTTCTCATATAGGGCAACTAAAAGTTTTGGCGGGAAAATTGCTCACTGAGCAGCTAGGTTACTTTCAAACAGCGAACGTCAAATGGAAACTGTTTATTTTATGCAAAATTTATTGTGATTTACGCTAACGAGCGCAAAAGGTAGGTGTAAAGCAATACCATTCATGCAATTAATGACCTAAGTACTTCAAGTCTGGTGTAAAAATGCATATTCGCACCGGCAAGTCTGCTACATTCCAACCTAGGTTCATTTGAACGACTGCATGTCTTACCCCCTTTAAGCAGTGGGGGATTTTACTGTTTTATGTCGGCAACTGATAGGAACAGACTCGGGTAAAGCTTGCAACAAATCTGCCATAACTGCTTGGTTCGTAATCATATTAGAAACCGAACTTAGAGGATTACGAAGCAAAAGTGCAAAATTATATGTAGCTCGGTAAGTATGTTGCTACAAACAGCATAAAAATGCAGGAAGGAATGAAAAAGTGGAAGTATACAACGTTCTCCAAGATGATCACTTCAAGCTAGGCTAAACCGCTCCGAAATTGTCCTGAACCTCACTGCTGAACATTATTCAGGTCTTAGCTATTGTTTTAAACAACAATTCTATAAAAATAAGGAGCCATGAAGGAAACTGAGCCGCTTCAACGGACCTATCAAAACATTGAGAATGAACAGAAAGGAATTGAGGGAGAGGAACAGCTATGAACCAGATGCAATTAGTAACTACAAATTTTGTAAGAATTGGCAAAAAAGGTTCGGCTATAGATTATTCAAGTGAGAACAACCTACAGCTCATTTCGTCTCTGAAAGTTCAAACCAAAGCTACCAGTTAACTCAATCTAGCCTTTACGCGTTTCAGGCACACTAACATTTTCCAACTTTCATCTTTTTAAGCTCGTCTCCACCAGTTACTTTATCCTCATCACTTCCTTTGTGCTGACAAGTTTGACGCTAAAATAAGATGCTTGAAACTAGACAGTCCTTCTGATCCAGTCCATTTTACTTCCATTTCACCCCTTAAGTGAACTGACTGTTATTTCGGAAAATGAAAGCTGCAAACCCGGCCGGTAATGAGATACATCACAGGATCGGGATTACTGTTCTCTTGCAGGACGCGATCAGCACGTGCCATGCACGCGATTGCGCCACCCATGTCCCCTGCTGCAACCTTCAAAGCCATTTCACAATTTGCGCGCATATGCCTAAAAATATTTATGGGAGATAATTTTTCCGAATTTCGACAAACAACCTGTATGAAATGAGAACAGCTTCGTG